TGTACTGAGATACATCTTCAGCCCTTTTAAATTTTTTTTATTTTGAGACAAAGTCTTGCTAAGTTGCTAAATTGCCCAGGCTGGGCGCGAACACTTAATCCTCCTGCCTCAAGTGTTCTACAGTGCTGGGATTACAGATATATGCCACCATGTCCAGCTAAATTAACCACCAGATTTTAATGGCTTTCTATGTCTTTCTTTTTTCTGTGCTTCATCCTGCCCTGCAACATGTAAACAATAAAAACCATCTCTTTCTTGGGTTTGTTAGGCAACTCTGAAGCAGTACTGGGAGCCTTGGCAAAGTCATAACGTCAGATTTACAGCTCTCCTTCTAATCTATGTCACCTCCTTCTATTTCCCAAACTGGCCACTCCAAATCTTTGCCTTTACCTTGAGGCCTCTAGTACAATACCTTCCTTGCTGCCATTTCCTGCTACTTCCTACCCTCCCAATCTCTCAGCAGATGTGTTACTTTCTACATAATAGAGAAACTGGAAACAATAAGGCACAAACTCCCATCTTTCTGTCCACTTCCAAATAAAATGCATTTGCACTCATAATTCCCATTCTCATGGAAGATGTCCTCTCCACCTCAGTCCCGGGTGATGCTTTTCTGCCTGGGTCCTGGTCCCAACCCCTCCTTCCTCCAGAAGATAAGCATTCATTACTAAGTCTGAACCCCTGGTATTATACTCAACTGCTTGCTTAGTATCTCAACTTCGATGGTTAACACCTATCTCAAAAACAACAGGCTCAGAAACAAACTTTTTCCAGGACAGGGATGTAGCTCAATAGTGCCACATCTGCCTGGCAAGCACAAGGGCCTGAGTTCAATTCCTGGTACCAAAACCCCCCCCAAAAACAAAAAAACAACTTTTTCCAGTTGCTTAGGCCTAAAAACCAGCCCTAAGATCATCTTTGATATCTCTTTTTCTCTCATATTTCACAGCACATCTTAGTGGTTTTTCTTTCAACATATGTCTAGAACTACTGTTTTTGACCTGATCCATGCTGTCTGTTTCATCTTCTGCCTGGTTTACAGCAATAGTCTTCCAAATAATCACCTGCTTCCTTCCTTACCCTCTATGCTGTATTCTCAACAGTTGGAGAGGTCTTGTTAAAACTTCAGATCATGACAACTTTCGGCTCAAAATCATCCAAATGTGTCCTGTCTCACTGAGCATAAAGCCACCTTTTTAGTGGGTGACAAGGTCCTGTGTGAACTGGTACCCACTGTCTTGTGGGCTGCATCTTTATTCTTTTCCTCATTCACACTGCTCTAGCTCACCGACCCCTGGCTTCTAATTCTGTAAGTCAGGGAGACCCCTTCTTCAGGCCTACAACAGCATCAGGGAGCGTTCCAGGATCGCCTCAACATTCAGATTAAGAGTATCATAAATCCCACATGGCACCAGAATCACTTAGAGATTGGACTGGAGTTATACTTTGTCAGCAAGGCAGCATCAGGTTTTCCCCTTTGTGAAAGTCTTCACAAATGTCTGTGTTGTGGTCTACACTGCTGCCCACAGTTAGTCTCTTCCTGAACATATCCTCCCCTTAGCATCTCAAGTACAAGAAAAGATGCAGACTCAGGACCTGCTATGACTTAGGCCTCATGTCCTAAAGGAGCCAATATATTTGCTAATACAATAGATATACCTTTTATGCATCAAAGCTGCATGCCTAGTTACAAGTGTCACCACAAAGAGAAATCCAATGATTTGGTTTCCTGCCAGGCATTTAATTCCCTCCCAGCCCAGCTACAGCTGACCAATGAGCGGTCATTGATACCTTGATCAATGTTGCCTAGTAACACAATTAACATTCTACCTTTTTCAGATCTCCAGGGAAACAGATCTAGACAGCTGAAATTCTGTAGAGAAAGTAAAATGCTGCAGAAGTTGAAGGGTCCCATTATCTCTGTCTCTGTGCCCCTTGCTCTTGCTGATCTTGCTGCCTTGAAGGCTCCTTCCAGGATGCATGGTCTACTCCTGTGTCTCCTTCAATTCCTTGGACACAAGTTACAACGCTTAATGCTCCCACTGAGACCTCCTACCATCCTTGCATGCTTTTTCTTTTTTTTTCCAGTGCTATCACATTCTAACATATTACAGTAGTTCCCTTTTATTCATGATTTCTCTTTCTCTGGTTTCAGTTACCCATGGTCAACTGTGGCCTAAAAATATTAAATGGAAAAACTACAGAAAGAAACACTTTATAAATATATAACAAAATATAAATTGCATGGCATTCCGAGTACTGTGATGTTAGTCACTTGGTACCCATCTTGGTTATCAGATTGACTGTTGCTGTGTCTCAGTGCTTATGTTCTAATAATCTTTATTTTGACAATAGCACAAGGGTCATGATATTGGCCATTCAGTTAGTGTTTTCCTTTAGTGAAAAAGTGGAAGCTCTTGACTTAACAAGAAAAGGGAAAAGTTATATGCTGAGGTTGGTAAGAGTTATGGTAAGAACAAATAAAGAAAAATATACTCTTCCCAGTTTCAGGAATCCACGGAGCATCTTAGAACATATTCCTGGGGGATTGTTGTATGGAATTTACTCAGATGGTTCTAATTTAATGACCAAATTCTGTTCCTGTGAACAAGTCATTATGTATATGGTACGTACACTATAGTACAGAAGTACAAAAAACCACCTGTCAGGTTCCTAGGTCTTAAATCTGAATGCAGGGGTCTTTTTTTTTGGTACCGGGGATAGAACTCTGGTCCTTGCACTTTTGAGACAGGTGGCATAACCACTGAGCTAAATCCCCGGGCCCGTGAATGCAGGGGTCTTAAGTCTGAACAGCACACCTCCATCGTAAGTCTGAACAGTTATTAGGCAGGTAGGTTGTTGAACAAGGAATATCTGTAATTGATTTTGCTTAATTTATTCACTCCTTTCTCATGGAATTAAAATTCTATAAAGCTGAAGGCCGGGGATTTAGCTCAGTGGTGCTGCTGCCTGCCTCACAAGCATAAGGTCCCGAGTTCGAGTTCAATCCCTGACACACACACACACACACACACACAAAATCTATAAGGCTGAGATTTTATTTTATTTATTTTTTCCTTCATTCTTGGTAGACTAGTGCCTGGCACACAGTAAGTTCTTCAGCAAGTTCTTGTTTTACTAATGAATGAACATTGGCTCTTTCTGTCTTTTAGACTCTAGCTTCTCACTGGCATTGTTTTTTGGGTCACAGAAAGGGGATAAAATCTCTAGTTAAATAAAAGGCAATACTGTATAGTGTTAGGGATTAAGAAGGACTTTGGATCCAAATTGCTGGGTGCGAATAAAGGCTTGCTACTGCCTTGGGAGGTTTTCTTAACCTCTTTGTGCTTGTGCAGTCTCATTTGTAAATGGGGGTAACCTATATCCTACAGTTGCCATGAGGGAAAAATGAGTTAAATGTGTGTAAGATGTCCAGAGTACTGTCTGATACAAGGAAGCACTATGTGTTAACTATGATTAATATCAGCTTTAAAAGACCTTTATTTCCATGCCGAACCACTGCTAGCTACTTTTCTCTCTTCCAACTTCCTCTTCCAGCTGATCTTTTATGAAAGTTGAATCTACCCAACAGCCTCTGCCTCAACTCTTACCCATTTGTCCAATCACTGAAACTAGTATTTCAGAGGGCCTACAAGCCAATTTTTTCTGTGATTCACTGAGAACTGTCTGTGGTCATGGACTACCTTTCCTTTGGCTGCTGTCACAGTCTTCCCTCCTGGTTTCCATGTGTTTTTATGGCTGCTCCTTCCCAGTCTGCCTCAGAAGCTCCCCTTCCTCCTCCATGTACTCTTCAATGTTGTTCCTGCCATCATTTCCCTCATCACCTTCTCCTTTTGTGGTTTCGCTCACATGGACAGTGCTGAGACTCTTACAAAATAACCCCAAACTGACCTACTGAGAGTTCCCAAAAATGCTGTATTCCTTCTCGCATCTGTAACTTGAAGTTTTCTCTTTCTCCTCTTCTGGCACCTTTTCCCACCCCCAGTTCCTATTCCTTGACTGGCTTCAGCTGGTGCTCCTCCAAGTTTTTAATGTGAAACTTGATCCCAAGTCCAGCCAAGTATCCTTCCTCTGTGCTTCCTTCCTGCTGTGTGGCAGCCTGTATCACGGTGCAACCTAACTTCTGATTGGTAGTGCATTTAGTTCTCCCCTAGACACAAACTACTTACTGGTGCCTCTGTTCTCAAAGGATGGTGTCTGACACATAGCAGTGTGAAACATACACTATTTAGATTCATATACAAACACATAGAATCTCTATGGGACTCAGTATGTGAATACACAGCATATATAGAGCCCGCCAAAAAAAAGTGTACAGTTTGCCATAATAAATGTCTGGAAGCTGATGGCCACCACTTCGAGCACCTCTTGTAATTGTAGAGGCCAAAGGTAACGTTATTAATATCATGATGTCTCAATAAATTTAGTATTAAAATATTTATACAAGTTTTTCTTTTCCTGATGTATATTTTCTTGTGTGTGGACTTCATAGGTTTCAACATGTGACTATATAGCATCTATACAGAATACATTTTGATTGGGTTACATTTTAATTCAGAATTAAACATTGAGCAAAATAATGATATATGTTACCAAGTATTGATTCTTCCAGAAAACCTCCCAGGCTTAAGTGCAAGAGGTGAAGAAAAGTGAGGGTTCCATTTTGGCATTAAAAAAGGCATTTTAGATATACATCTGTATTTCACTGTAAAGCCAACTTTGAAAGTTGATGGAAGTTATCATTTGAGATTAGTCAACTGCAGTAGGGCTCATTGAAACCTTATAAGTACTATATTTACCTTATTAGGAGACTTTAGCAAATGTTTCAGGCTCCCTGCCATGATTACAAATGACATATACAAAAAGAGGAGAGCAACTAATATTTACACTGTTGAAAATCACTCAGTGGGCTCTGAAAGAAGTTTCACTGGTGTGGCGTCTTGCTCTGTCCCTATTTTACTGTGGTTCTAGGCACCAACCTGTAAAGTGCATCCGAACACACCGATCATCAGCATGGCCACAGAGAGGTAATCCGTAAACACATCCCACCATGGTTTCAGCACCCGGAAGGCAGGCTGCTGCTCAGAGAACTGCCGGAATTCTGTCACCGGAATCATGTTTCTGAGAAAAGAGAGATTACTGGTGAATTAATCTGTCTGTAAGTACACTTCTACCAGCACCTGAAAGGCTGCTTCAACCTTTCAAAAGCACAGATCTGCAGTCCAGAAGCTGCCAAGGTGCACTAGTGTTGCAGTGAGACACTGAACAAAGCCACTGGCGGAGGAAATGAGGAGACCCACATGAAAAAGGCAGGAACTTTTACTGAATTATTGTCCAGCAACCAGGCTCCTGTTGTACTCCTGGGGGCCACAGGACTGTGGTCAAGTCCTTGTTATTTCTTGTGCTCTTGTTCATTCAAATAGAACGCAAAGATGTCAGCAAAAAGCGAGCTCATCCTTTGAAACGTTTTTGCTGTTTCTCTTACCCTCTTGGATTAACAGTTTAAACTATGTTTAAATGTCATTCCAGCATTCATTTGTGTTAATGCTTTTTTTTGGTACCGGGGATCGAACTCGGCTCCTTGCACCTGTGCAGCAGGCGGTGAAACCACTGAGCTAAATCCCTGGCCCCCTGTGTTAATTCTTTAGTGAGCCTTATTTGTAAGACATTTTGCTTACTCCATGGGGAAAGAAAGCAATGTTGCCACATTGCCTTTTTCAAATCTTACTAATGGTGGTGGGTTGGGGAGAATCATGTGCTCTCCCCTAATCCCTCCTTTTCTGTCTCTGTGCTTCTGTTTCCTATTTTTTTACTTCCTTTATTTCACTATGAACCTTACACTTAACCTGATTTCTCCTCTGAGAAATTAGTTTGCCCTAGGAACCTGGTATGGTTTGGATTAGTGTCCTGAAAGGCCTATGTATTAAAGGCATGGCCGCCAGCCTATGGCACTCTTGGGCAGTAGTAGAACCTTTAAGAGGTGGAGCCTGGTAGAAGGGAGTTAGGTCACTGGGGTGTGCCACTGAGGGCAACATTGGGACCCTAGCCTCTTCTTGTTTCTTCTTGCAGCTACCATGAGGTAGGTAGGCAGGCCTCCTCTACCACACACTCCCGCCATGACATGCTGCCTCTCCACAGGGCCAAAAGCAATGGGTGAACTGATCAGGGACTTAAATCTCTGAAACTATGAAGCAAAGTAAACCTTTCCTCTTTTAAAGTTGACTTACTTCAGGCACTGTTATAGTAATGCAAAGCTGACTAGTACAAGACACTGAATGAACAATGTGCACCTGAGGCTGTGTAAAAAGGGAAAAAGAGGCACATCTTTTTCTTGGTCTACATTTTCCCTTTTCATGCCTCATCCTCACTGCCTTTACTGTGACCCAGAATTTGGGGTTAACCCTTTCCGTATGTTATGGCAAGGAAGAAAGGTGGCCAGTGAAGGCCAAATGAAAACCATTCTCTTTTCTGCCTCTCCAAATCTGTCTTCTTACTTAATCCTCATTTAAAATGCAGGGGAAAGGCTACACTTCCAGCTCCATCTCCTAAATCTTGTTTGTGTCATGGATTTTCCTTCCTAATACTACACCAGATTAGATCCAACTCTCTCCTTCAAATTTATTGATAGTATAGTTTTGGAAAAAGTTATTAATTCTGTCATGCTGCTTTAAGTCTTTTCTTAAAAAATAATTCATTTTCCTTTTGTTCCTTTGGTTTTTTTTTGGCACAGGGATCAAACTCAGGATCTTGTGCTTGTGAGGCAGGTGCGGTGCCACTGAGCTAAATCCCCAGTCCCTTTTGTTCTTTAAGAATGTTAAAATTTCAGCAGCCAGGAGACCTGCTCACCTATGACCCTAACTACTTCACATCTAGTGTCTGATATTATTTCCTCACTTTGCTAAAATAGAGCTCCATTCTGTTACTAGGCTGCAGATTTCTTTAGAGTAGAGCGTTTATGTCATGCATATGCATATCCTTAAAACATATGTTGCAGGCAAACCACACAAGCTAAATAAATCACATAGTCCTAGTGTCATTAAAATTTCAGACCAGCTCACATTTTAATTTTCCTGACACCTTGTGGCCTCATTTCTCATGAATCATGACAACCTCATTGCCCCAGATGTGTTCCAGTCAGATGTTTCAGTGATAATCACAGACAAGTACTAATTCATCGTAAGTTTCAAGTTCTGCTTCAGAAGCTACTGTCTTATACTATTTTGCATCCCCATCCTTCTCTGCAGTACCCAGAAAATAACAGGACTTGAACAACTGCTTGCTGAATAAATCAACATAGGTCATAGGTGAATGCAGGTGATTATTCATGGTGGAGTGCTTATTCAACTCAGATTTGGAGTGATCCTAATTAGCTGCAGTGACAGTGATAATTAGCAAACTACTTGTGCTATACTCGACTGTTTTTGGTAGATTTGATTACTGTCTCTTTCATATATTTTTTTATTCCCTGGAGGGAACTGGGCTTATCCATTTAAGCAGAGGACAGTTTCAAGAAGAATGTGCACCTGTGTGGAGTAATGGTTCCCAAACTCTTTGATCTCTGGACTCCTTCATACTCTACATACAATGAGGAGAACACTAAAGTGTTGATGCTTTATAACCATGAATAATTTCATGTTAGAACTAAAACCAAGAAATTTAAAAAATACACATTAATTCATTAAAAAATCTCATTTCATGTTAATATATATTATTAGGAAAATACATTTTCCAAACACAAAAATTAGTGAGAATAATGGCATTGTTTTACATTTTTATGAATTTCCTTAATACTGGCTCAATGTAAAGACACCTGGATTCTTGATTTAGTGTCTACATTCAAGATACTGTAATATGTTGTTTGGGAGGAAAAACAAATTAAACAAAGATATATAGTTAGAAATGTATCTTAATAGCTTTTTCAGGTCATTGTGGATATTCATTTTTTAAGACTATATTGAATTTTGATGAAGTTGACTTACAACATAAAACCTGGAAACCTTATCAACAAACTTTCAAATTCTACATTAAAACCCTTTAGTCTGTCTTGAATTCTCAACGTGTTTGTTACCCATGCATGATTTTGTAGCACCATGTATTGGTAACCTGGAAAATAATGGGTCACTGAGTTATGGGATGTTTTATGTATTGACACACTTCATTACAAAATAGAAAAAAGCATGTTCATTAATATCACCATGCTATCATCAGAAAAATTTTTAAGTACTAAGAAACTGTCAAGTTTATTGGGAGGTTACAAGTTCTCCAAAATTCTAATTATCACTTGAAAATTAGAACTTTGTCATTGCCTTAGTTATTTCTCTCTCATTGCTGAGACAAAACACTTGACACCCAAAGTTAAAAGAGAAAAGGTTTATTTAGCTCCCAGTTTGTAGAAATCTCAGTCCATAGTTGGCTGGCTCCAAGGCCCAGAGGTTTGGCAGACAGGCATCGCAGAGGAGAAACAGTCCATAGCAGGTGGAAGACAGCAAAAGCAGGGAAGCAAGGGACCTTATCAGCTTCTTTCTGCCCCTTTTATACTTTATCTAGGCTATCAGGATTAGGGTGGTGCCAAACCAATTAGTGGACTGATTTAGTAATCACACACCCTTAATCCCAACATTACACTCTAGCTTCAGCCACCTCTGAAAAAGCCTCAGCTATGACCACATGAGGCTTTGGTGGGTGGGTGGGTGGGGGGCATCTAGACACAAACCATAAGAATTATGAACAAATCTTTGTTATTTTCCTGTAAACTCAGGGTCACTTAATTCATAATAAGTCACAAACACGTCTGAACTTCAATTGTTGTATTCAAGTAAGAGTAGTGTAACATAATAAAGTAGATAATTCAACTTTCAATTCAAACATCACACAAGGCTTTTCCTTGAGACATCATTGTGTTTTTGAATGCTGCAGAACTGCTGTGTATTTTTCCCATTTCATCACAGTGTTTTAAGTTACTAAAATAATTTGTACTGCTTCAACAAGGACATTAAGTGAAACTCACTTTTAAAAAAAAATACTTCATCCCAACTCATTGAAGAGTAAGTGATGGGGGAGGGCTTTTTTTTTTTTTTTGAGATAGGGTCTTGCTATGGAGTTCAGGCTGGCCTTAAATTCACTATGTAGTCAAGGTTGGCCTGGAACTCATGGCAATCCTCCTGCCTCGGCCTTCTGAGTGCTGGGATTACAGGCATGGGCCACCGCACCTAGAGAGACACACTTTTAATAAAATGGAAGCATCTACCCAGCAATATAATCCCTTAAGTATAATCTCCTACTTCTAGCTTGATTCATGCAAAGACATCTTACCCACCACATATTTGCACCATTGGTAAAAAGGTAAAAGAATGCATTAAACTTTTTGACCTTGTAGGGACCTTTAAAGAGTCTGGGTTCCAGGCGTGGTGGTACACACCTATAATTCCAGTGCTTGAGAGGCTAAAGCAAGGAGATTGGGAATTCAAAGTAGCCTGAGCTACATAGCAAGTCCCAGGCCCCAAAATTCCAAAACCAAACAAAAACAAAACAAACAACCTCCCCAGTAAACAAAAAGTGTGGTTCCCATTGTCCACACTTTGAGAACCACCCAGGCAGAGGTTCACTGTATTACTATTATTATGTTTTCCTTTTCTGGTACTGGGGATTGAACTCAAGACCTTGTGCTTGCGAGGCAGGCGCAGCACCACTGAGCTAAATCCCCAGCCCCAGTGTATTATATAGACAGAATTTATGTTTTAATGTATAACAAAGCTCCAAGCTGACATCCAGCACAGCATTAGTCCTTAATATTTTTGATACAAAAAAGGGAATAAGGGGAAGAGTTAAATAAAAATCTCCCAACTAAAAAGACAGTGGATGGACCTTTGCATGCTTAATTAAAACCTTTTTTCTTTTTGGTATTATTCTTTTACACTTTTCAGTGCCTCTGAAGTCATGCATTACAGTGGCAGCTACACCTTATTTCTCTATCATTATCACTGTCATTTCCAAGTTACTTGTGACAATTTCAAGAGTTATCACTGAAAGCTAAGGGAGCTACCTTTGAATAAATGGTCTGGCTTAAATATTAACAAGCTAATAATCAAGCAACATAATTTTATTTCCACTCAAATATTTTT